CGGCAAGAAACCCATTGGGCTCAAATGGGTGTTCAAGATCAAGCGCGACGCCGACGGCAACATCACCAGGCACAAGACCCGTCTAGTGGCGAAGGGGTACGTGCAACGCGCCGGCATCGACTTTGAGGAGGTTTTCGCGCCAGTGGCGCGACTGGAGTCGGTGCGCTTTCTCCTCGCCATCACCATGCACCACGGGTGGACGGTGCACCATCTCGACGTCAAGTCCGCGTTCTTGAACGGCGCGTGGTGGTGTTATCGTCGTGCGAAGCGGAGTACATCGCCGGCGCCACCACGGCGTGCCAAGGACTCTGGCTTTCGCACCACGAAGGTCGTCGTGCCATTGCTCTACATCGACAACAAGTCCGCGCTTGCTCTCGCCAAAAATCCGGTGCTTCACGGTCGAAGTAAGCACATTGACGTTCGTTTCCACTTCATTCGAGACTGCATCAACAATGGATCGTTGGAGACGGACTATGTCAGGACTGGTGATCAACTGGCGGACTTGCTCACGAAGCCGCTTCCACACGAACGTCTCCAGGAGCTACGCATTCGGAGCGGCGTCATCAACGTTGGTGCAGCGCAACATGATTAGGGGGAGTTTGTTGAAAAATAACCTGTTGCGTTGCATATTTCTATTCTTAGTGTGTCTAGCGGTGAGCACGGCGTTGTCCGCGTCGTGCGCGTTTCCTTTCATGCAGAGCGTGTGTGTGTGGCGAAGCTTGGCCCGGCAATGGCGCCCACGTTCCGTGGCTGTGGGATGGCGCAGCTAAAACAGGGCGTGTGCGGATGTGCTCATGGCCTTGCCAACCGTGTAATCGTGTGATTCAATAAAAGGAGAAAGAAAACAGAAAAGTAGCAGTTCTGCGCGCTGCACAAAAATCCCTGAGTTCCATCTGTTCGTCGCGTTCGTCGCGAGTTCATCGAAAGAGAGAGAGAGAGAGAGAGAGGGAAAGCGAGCGTTCCAGCGAGAATTGATCCTGATCCAGTTTGAACAGCGGCGACCAGCACGGAGATTGAGACGGCCAGTTGGTATCATTGTCAGGATCTAGGCAGCATACCGTACATGTACTGGTGATGTAAACGTACTATACCATTACAAGATATATTGTGGGGTTAAATTTGAGAATACTGGTTGCATATTTGGTGGTTTTGAGTTTTGACAACGAGGTTTTGCTGTTGTGTTTCTATTTGTTATTCAACTAGCAACTGGGTTGACACAAGAATAATCTCACAGTATACACAGTCAACGATGGACTATAGTGCATTATAATTAATTACTCGCTCTGTCCTAAATTATAAGTCATTTCAACTCTCTTGGAGAGTTAAAGCATCTCAAGTTTAACCAAAGTTTTAAACAAAATTATAAATATATATATATATATATATATGATATCAAATAGGTTTATACTATGAAAATATAATTAATGAAGAATGAAGAATCTAATAATACTTAGTTGGTATCATAAATGCTATTATTTTATTATATAAATTGGTCAAACTTGAGGAGATTTGACTCTCAAAAAAAAGTTAGAATGACTTATAATTTAGGACGAAGAGAGTAACAAACATGCTCGTACGTTGCAATGAGATGCATAATTAGTTTTACGTTGTTCATGCCAATAATAATGAGTTAATTATTTTTTTATTTAATTAGGCTTGACCCAACCATAAACTAAATAAATTTCAATACTCGTAATAAATGCTAGTGTAATAAAAGAATAATCTCATATGGAAAATTGATAGGAGATTGACTCAAATAGAAATAGATGGCTAATGTGTGACCTATTCTGAGTTTGAAAAGGTGGAAGACAAGCTTCTGCATGTGCATCATAACACTAACAGACTTGAGCAACTTGACCATAACATGAGTGTGGTGTGGTGCCGAGCTGCCGTTGAAGGATTTGCAGCTCTAAACTAAAAGCGAGAAGGGTGAAACAGCAACCATGGATCAAGGGACGGAAAGCGGAAGGAGTGAGACAAGCGGTTGACAGACCAATAAACGGAAGACAGAAGAGTGAGAGACGGACGAGTAAGAGAGTAAAAGATGAAAGAAAAGAATTTTCACTATTTAAGTTAGTTACAGATATAGATATATATTTTCAAATAAACATGATACTCCGCTGGCAGTGATAGGGTAGCCATTCTCAAACCCAGCTATGAAGTAGCAAATTGTATTGACCTCAACCCATATGTGTTGAAGTGATTTGGTGTAGAATTTAAACTAAATTCTACATCAAACTACTCCAACGCACATGGATTGAGGTGAATACATACATATCCAAACAAGACTGGGCAGTCTTGTTTTTAGCAATGGAGAGTTAAAACTCCCAACACGTACACGTCGTACCGCTGGGCTATCCACCTCAATTTACACAGCTTGTGGGTATACTACTCGGCCTTCGTTGACACATTGTTTCCCAAACTTTATTTGCCTAACTAATACGAGTATGTGGCTAATGAGTCTACGACAGTAGAGCATAGAGGTAAAGAAACATTATGCTAAACCACAATTATCATAGAGAACCACAAATACTCAGGTCTCTGCTAGTACATATCACACATGAAAAAAAAACTTAACGCACCCCCCTCCCCCGCGCCGTCTCCCGAGGCGACTGGGCGACACCCAAGTCACGCCTCCCCTCCCCCAGCGGCTCCCTCGGCCGCCGCCGTTGCTCGACGAAGCGGCGGCGGCGTGCTCATGGTGCCGCTCAAGAAGGCAGCCTCGCCTCCTCCCTTCCCCCACCCTCTCCCATCTTTCTGATCCCAAGCTTTTCTCTACTTCCATGGCGTCGAAGATGATGGCGACAAAGGCGGCAGCTATTCATACTCCTATTGTGGCCTTGAGCGAACCACAAGGGTTCAGGCTGTAGGTGTGTGGCAGATGTTGTCATGCCGGTGGTTCGCTTGTGTTGTGGGTGCAGTGCATGCCCGTCTTTGTGGATTCTAGGCGAAATCCTTGCGCTGGTGCCGGTGATGATGGCACCCTCGGGCGTCATGTTCCTCGTTGAAGACATCGTCAAAGATCCAACTGGTGCCCTTTAGGTGTGTGGTCTCTGGTTAAAACCCAAATCCAGTGTGCTGGACAAAAGCAATGGTGGCATCTTTAGATGTCATTCCTTCTGGAGGTATTGCTTTGGAGACCACCTACAACCTTGAGGTCATTCAGTCATCTCTTCGCCCAATTCTTGCCCACCCCCTATATGCTTGCACAAGTTCTAGCCGGCAAGTTGTCGTTGCCAAGTGCCTTGCTCGCCATTCTTCTTCATATGTTCCTTGATTGCATTGTCTCACCAAATGCCGGGTTGGCAAGACCATGATCCCCTCTCTCTTGGATCTCCTCGTTCTCCTTTTGCCGGCCCTCCCTCCTTTGAGGTTTCCTCCCCTGAATAGGCGTTGGCGGGCATCGATTGGATCCCGGATGTGCTTCAAAGACAATGTATTCACGATTGTCGTCTGTCAAACTCGACTCGAAGCTTAACAATCGCTTTTGGAATGGAGGTCGCCGGAGTACAGTCACCTGGTGGTGGTGTTTTGTTGTTGAACAACTTAGTGTTAGTGTTAGTGTTGTGTACTTTTCTAGCCTTCTTCTTTGTACATCTGGGTTCATGACCCAACCATGTAACTGGCGCCTGGCGCCCTCCATTCCCACCTTCGCCGACATCAGTGGAAAATATTCAGGTGGGGGCTATCGTCCCTCCCAGTGACTTCTCAAAAAAAACCACAAATACTCACCTAAAACACTAAAAAAAATCTATGCTCAACTAAGAGCAAATATAATAAAGGACTATAAATGAATTTTATGTTGGGGTGAAGAGAGAACGAAGTGAAACGTGAACTTATAGCTATTGATGCACGATCCAAGAAACTTTGTGAGAGAAGAAAATAGACCTTATATTAATGATGAAGTATGTTATACGTCGTAATAGTTGACTACTATATGGGTGGACTAAGAGATGGCCAATGACCCAGCAAGCTAAGGCACAAGTTTAGGCTGTCGCACAGAAAATCACAAGAAAGATGAGCTACATTCATACATCATGTATACGTGCGTCAGCCGCGAGTATACTGTTAGTCGCCCTCGTCAGGTTCTAAACAACAAGAGTATCTCCTCCCGACCTGCCTGAACTTGCAACATCACCAAGGGTCGCCATCGATGACCTGGTACGCGCCGTACCTTTGAAACTTGAGCTAGTGGTGACGTACCTCTGAAGACACGGGCAGGAAACTTCAAAAAATATACATATATGAAGTGCACAACTCATCACTGACTTCAGCAACTGCTAGTGGAAAAGATTGCAATATACTATAAATAAAGAGGGCAGGATACCAACAGAGACAAAACAAATATTCACTGCAATCAGTGTGAAGAACAATACAAAAGATGTCCCCCTTGAGAGATCTTGATGACTAGGCCGATGCTGACTGTGAAGTTTGGTACAGGAATATGATTCCCAACAGCTGCAGATATGCAGATACCAGCTCAATGCTGTGTTAAGAACCTCCACTAAGTACAAGATGATGGCACATGCTCCTTGACAACATGGATTCGACTACAGTCCCAATCTAACATGCTTACAGGCAGTCAGGGTACCGACAGCTCTAAAGACCAATTAGTATAATCCTCAATACCTCAATATGATTGGTGCATGAAGGCTAACAGACCTGCTAAAGTTGCCAGGCTCAATCACACAAACCAATGGAGAGGAGGAACATTATATATATAGATCACTTTGGCTACATTAATCTCTTACAACAAAACCATGAGCATTACATCAATGTGCAAGGCTAATGTTTGAGTAGCTGAATCTGACTAAAATGCAGAACCACTAACTCATCCATGCGACAACTCAAAACAACAAAATTAGCCTCAACACTCATGATGATGCTCTCATATAGATTTCTACGTTAGCCCTTTTCTTTTCTTAAGGAAGGGTCGTATATGCATGTATGTCTCTGTACATTTATATAGCCAACAGGCAAAGGGGGTTAACAGCTAACAACTATCCGATTTTCTGTTCTGATAAACCTCTTTTCTGCAATCTGATCAGGAAAGTAACCGACCTCACAGCATGCCGGAGACGGTTAACAGGGAGTCCTTTTAGTGTTGGGTGAGACAGGTCCTTCTTGGGATCCTCGCAGGTTTCTTTGCCACTGGACTCACCCGAGGTAGAACCTTGCTCCTCATCCCCGCCAACAATTTCAATTTTCTCCAAGGGTACATCTACGGTGTCAGGGAACTGGCAATAAGCAGAATGAAGTCCATGGTGAATTTCATCTATTCTTCCTGACCGTTCATCTTCCCTGTCCATGTCGATTAAATCCTACAAAATCACATTACAGCAGTCAACGTCACAAGATAGGAAATCAGTGTCACGAAAACTCTAGTCCTCAATTATTTTCTATGCTCTAGTAAAACCCATGTAGATCTAGACATGACATAATTTAAGGAACTAATATTACCTGTGCTGGAAAAGTCTTGAATAATGGAAGAAGTCGGTTTCTGCAGTACTGGTTAAATAAAAGAGTAAGGATGATAAGAGGTATGGTGAAGCCTGCAGCTACTGGCGATTCTTTGAGTCCAAATACACCAAGGCAGATGATCTGGGTGAGCACAAGAGAGAATATGACTGTGCTGCATGCAATTGGCCAATACAAACCACCTGTGTCGTACCTTGTTCGATACACATTGAGCAACTGAAAAGAACACAACTAGTACATTAGCATGCTACAGATAAATTTGAGGTAAATAACAAAAAAAAAATCTCTAGCTTATCACCTGATTGCGGTAGACAACATAACCAAGGCAAAAGTACACCAGCAGAAAAGGTAAGATCAGAGGAGCCAGCACAGACAATGTGAATCCCAATAGTCCAAACAACAGAACTTTTGGTACTTCTGTGTGGTAGGGAAATGAGGGAACGAATTCTGTATCTTCTCTCATTCTCAGAACATATTTCCTTATAAAGTTCCATATCAGACCAAAGAGCTGCATAACTTCAGATGACAAACTAGCCCATCCTGAGGTCAGGACATAGGTGATGAAGAAGGTGGCCTGGAATAAAATTAGATTTACAGAAAAGCAAAACAAATTAGATGAAAATTAAATACAGAATGAATATAGTATCTTTCCACATGCAACAAATTTTATGTATCTTAATCAAAGTCTTGTTCTTTCTATGGCATGAACCAAAAAAAGATGTGATTTACCTGTCCAGGTACAGCTTTAGCAAGCTGGACAGGTATGTCCTTGGGCTTGATAACACGTTCAATTGACTTATGACAGTACCAGATAATACATTAGCAAAGAATATGTTCCAAACTGTGAAGATCAGCACTTTACAGCAAGCACTTCTCTTCCTTTCACTGTGTGATGTAGGACCCTCCAATGTAGAAAATAGCATCATAATTGGAGCAACAGTGTACAGAAAGATTTGCAGTATGACACTGGGAAGGTATCCAGTTACTAGCTGAGTCATGTAGTATTTCCTGCACATACATAACAGTCAATAGGTGCAGTGTGGAGACAGATAAATGAATAGCATCTAGCAACATGAGATAACAGTGTCAAACTCTATCAAGATGATTTTGATACTATCATTAGGAGAGCCCAACTGAAATTCCTGTACTTACTTCTTCAATATTCCTCTTAGGAAAGGAAGCCTCTGCTGCAGCTGCTCTAGCTGAGATAGCCCTTGTATAAATGTCACCGGTATCAGAAATATGAACATAAAACAAATAGAGCCTAGGAGTGTAGCAATACGGCGAGCCCAAAGCTGCTTATAGGGTAGCCAAAGATTGGACCAATACACGTCTTCTGGTTCTGGAGCTAGATTAGCAACCCACTTCATAGGGTTAGATGTTTGAAGTATTTCTGATGCAACAAGTGCGGCATACCGAGTTTTGAAAAATACAAAAGCAGCTGTGCATTCCTGCATACGATCCCACATAATAATTACTAATTTATTCCAAATAACTGATATATTAAGCAAAAGAACAAATGCATGCAAGCTTAACCTCATCATCTAAGTCCAAGATGGATTTATTGTCAGCTTTCCCCCTGTTCTGCTCACATTCAGTGTTCAATAACTTGAAAGAATTTGAAGAGGCTCCACACAGACAACAGCGGTAGGTAATTGTTCTGCATCCCTGATCGACTGTTTCATCTGTGAAATGTTTGAACTTCTTATATGCCTTTTTTGCGCCAGTCTGTCAGAGTTAAAAATTAAAGTTACACCAAAAGCATAAATAAAGTGAAATAAAAATACACACAACTTTCGCCCAAAAAACAAATTACATAAAGAAAGAGAAATATTGAACTCGAGGAATTGGACATTTCCACTGATTCATGTCAAAAAAAACAAAAAAAAAATGATTATCCATCTGTGCGAAAATCTAATGAACAGAAGAAGCAGAGTTATAATAGTAAATGCTCGTCACTAGGAAAAGTGAAATGCATTCGAGTGTTACCATTATCTTCTGAACTTTCCCAGCTTTGTAAACTACTTGATGGAAGAGATAACTAGATGAGTGATACTTTGTGAAGAAACCATCAACAACATCACTGCATGATTCTTTATCTGCCTTTGGTATTCCCCGAACAAGAACTGTAAAATGGCTTGGTTTTGGTGTTGCACTTGTAAGATGAAGGAGCCTCAACCTGGCAATGTGCTTGTACTCCTGAATTAGGAAAAAAATGAATCATCAAAAACATTCTGGATACAAGGAGATGTATGTTCCAGCAATTCAAAATGGAAGCGAACTTACAATGTATAGCAGAATGCAAGCTACTCCAGAAATTATGTACAGGGTTACACAATGGACCCAGAGCCTGCAAGGAAGCCAGAATACAAAGTGAACATCAAAACATGCACAATGCTCATTCCTCAAGTTCTAAAGGAGTGAAGAAGCAAGTTGGATTACCGCCAAAGGCAAATAACATTTTCAAAATGCCAGCAATTAAAGCGGCATATATATAATACACAAAAGCACAACATGACAACATTTCAGCAGTCTATGGCAGCAAATGATAATAGATTAAAAAAATACGTTGTTTGGCTTACCATCTTGATTTCACTTCTACATTCCCAATTGTAAATATATCTAGTGATTCCGAAGGAATTCGAACATGGTGTATATCCTGTCCAAAATAATTGAGCGGAAGAATCCCAAAGACACACAAAAGGGCGGCAAGGGTGAAGATGCGTATGCTGTTGAATATGTAAACAAATGTATCAGTCGGCCAATTTTGTTGCTGAGGTTAAACACATGCACTATTATGAAATTTTCAGGGCACAAATGAAATAAGGAGGAGAAAAGGGAGTAAGTTTTGCACACCATACCTGAATACTAGAATTCTATTGAAAGCAACAGCATCCAAGCCAGCAGCAGCCAGGATCTCTTCCTCAGTACACTGCAGGGCTTTGACTATCCATCCAGTAGATGGAACAAATCTCTCCAAGATAAAAGCCCCTCGGAGCCGATCATGCTCCTCAGCGATCCTGCGGCCGAAGTAGACCCTGACATTGGCTGGCTGCTTTCTGAGAACAGAGTAGAGCGACAGGAAGAGGACACAGAGGCCAATGTTGATGCCCGCAGAGGTGAGTAGCGCGCTGATCTTCATCTCTGGGTGTCAAGCGTGTCACGCACTGACACAGTCTATGTCATCTGAAACGCGGCGTCATCCTCGATAGCCACGGTTCAGTTGCTGCAGGAAAAGGTTGGTATTAGCACATCTAGTTTATTTATTTGTAAATAAATAAACTAGATGTGCTGAAATATTTGTAAATAAATAAACATGGTGTTACTTGGGTAAGATGAACAGCACACATGTTTGATGTTCTGTTGCAACCCAGCACACCTTGACTGTCTAGCTGCCTGTGTGTTTATATGCTTATTAACATCATAGCAAATTGCAGTTGCAGGAATTTGGAAGGACTATACATAGTGGTAACAGGTGGACACTGGACAGTTTAGTTACAGAATTCGGAAGGACTATAAATAGTGGTAACAGGTCAACAGGTAAACTGATCAACCTCGGCAACGCTATTGCACCCCCAAACTTAGTTGTGTGGCACCTAATGATTAGTGTCCACATGCAGCACGAATGGACTGTCAGGCCTCAACTGCAGAGAAACAAGGTTGATGCTAACAAACAAGTACTCTGCAGAAACATAAGGGCTGACAATCTCTCTTGTTATTGTTGGGGGAAGGACTATAGGCATGGACTAGTACAGATTGAAAAGTTGAAGTTGAGGTGAGTTGATCGGTGGTACACCCAAAAATTGAGGACTTTATTTTGTTTTTTAGCATGTGGATTATTGGCACTAGCATGAAGAATGATGGAAGAGAGGGAGACGTGAAGGCTGAAGAATCGATGAGGGCAGGGCAAGTCCATTACTTTACTCAAGTAGTAGATTCGATTCGGCTGGGGGCCTGGGGTTCGATTGATTGGTATGTGTGGAACAATATTTGCGTGCGAGCATGAGCAACACTGGGCAACCACGCGATGCAGAATCATTGCTGGCACCAATTTACGCAACACAATTTTTTTGTGGTGTTAAAAAAAACGGGAAAACTCGAGTGCCTAATGTGAATGAATGAATAAATAAATAGATAAAAGTTGTTTTTCTTTTTGGTTTTTGGCAAGAAAACAGCAATCGGCGCCTACCTCCGCCGAACTGCAGTACTGTAGTAGATTAGACAGAGCTGAGGAAGGAACAAGATTGGGGGGAAGCAATAGCAAAAAGTCGCCGTCTTGGGCAAGCGGCGAGCGAATGCGCGAAGGGAAGAGAGGGAGCAGGCAGAAGCAGCATGAATCGAATCGAAGGGGAAGTCCAGGAGCAGGCAGAATGCTGGGTGGATTCGGCGGGCGAGGCAGGCGAATGTCGCGGCGGCCGGAGTCGACTAGTACTAGTAGTAGAAAGCAGCAGGAAACGAGGAAACGGAGAAGGATGGAAAAGGCGTCAGTTACCTCGGCGCGGACCGGCGCGGCGATTCCTTCCCGGAGAAGACCTAGTATAGCAGAGCATTGAGATGAGAGTGCATGATTTGATACACTACTCCAGATTAGAAGAAGAAAAAAGAGAACGAATTTGGAGCGGGATAGGCGGACGGCGGGAGCAACAGTAGAATAGGCACTGTACCTGGAGGAGAGCAGCGTAGCGGGAGTGCGTGCTGCGGCAATGGCGAGGAGATGGATGGATGGACGCAGCGGAGCAGAGTCCCAAATCGAAATCGGAAAGGAGGAAGGTAAGGGACGGCCGGACGGAGGGAGGAAGGGAGGCGGTGGGAACAGGAATCCAAACCAACCTGAGAACGAATTTGGGTTTGGGTTGGGTTCGGTTGGGTGCCATGCCAGACAGAGCACAGCCCAGGGAAGACGAGACAGCGAGGGGAGTTATTCTCACTTTGGCTGTTTTCGTTGGTTCGTTTGTTTGTTTGAACCAATTTATTTATTATAATAATTCTGTGTTTTTGTTTCTACTACTACAACTGATAATATATAGCCAAAAAAAAAGGAGGAGATTCATTAAATTAAATTGGGTTTAAATACATACGCTACTCCTACTCCATACAGGTAATCAAATCAAAATCAGTTTGCTGCTGGTGCTTACGTAATCGTAATCGACTGACCAGGCTGTTTCTCTTGATAACTGGAGTAAGTAGTCGTCAGTTTGTGTTGAACTTGAACCTGGCCACCACCTGCTTATTCTATTTTTGATGATGGGCTGCAGCACCAAGCTGAATAGGGTCTCACGACCCAGCCCAATAACCAACTTTAGGCCCGGACAACAACATCCAGGTCACGCACTGGCGCCATGGAATGGATGGGGGAAAATTGAAGTGCTACTAGTATCAGAGCAGAGGCCCACTCCTGTGAAAATGCCAATCACTCTTCTTTTCTTTTTTTTTTCTTTTTCTTCTCGTCGTGCTATAGATATACATACGGAACATACATTTTCTAAACAATAGTGCTAGTACATATTAAAATATCCTTGCTGTGTAGTACTTCTCCCGTCGATGTGGAGCTACTTCTATGCTACACAAGCAAGAAAGTAACTAGCAAGCTACACAAACTAACTAATTACAAGAGCAACTAAATAAGCACAATATATACGAAAGTAAATACAAGCTTGTGTATGGGGATTATAAACCAAAGGGAGGATGATGACACTATAATTTTTATCTTGAGGTTCACTTGATTGCCACCAAGCTAGTCCCCGTTGTGTCGATCGTTCACTTGGTGGTTCGGCGGCTAATTGGAATCACCTGCCAAGCCCGCACATCGAGCACCACAAGAACCTACCCACAAATGAGGGTAACTCAATGACACGCTCTACTAGTGTTGCTCTTCACGGCTCCCACGGGGTGAACACGGTACCCCTCACAAATACTTCTCCGGAGCACCGCACAATCTCCTTGCGTGCTTCACGACGGAGAACTCGCCACCAAGCCGTCTAGGAGGTGACAACCTCCAAGAATAACAAGCACCACCAGCTTACAACTCAATCACCTAGTGCCACTCGATGCAATCTCACAATGCAATCACACTAGAATCACTCACTCGTAGTCGATTCGCACTCTTGTAAGCACAAGTGAGTTAGAGGGCTCTCTTAGCACTCCCCAAGCATGGACACTAAGTTTCAAGGGTGCCAAGCATGTGCCAAGGCCGGCCACACACTCCTTTTATAGCCCCAAGGGCTAAAATAGCCGTTACCCCCTTCATCCTGATTTCTGCGCACTGACCAGGCTCGCTGATCAGACTCGCCCCATAGTTCAATCTAGAGTCTGCTCCAGAGTCCGGTCACGCTGCGCTCACCACGTGTACTAGATGTTAGAAAGATACTGTTGGGCGCCATCGCCTAGCATCCGGTCACGAATAGAGAGGCGCCAGAGAGGTTTTTCATCGATCGGACGCGTCCGGTCAACACTGACCGGACTCGCCGCCTTGTCCAGTCACTTTCCCTGAGCGTTTCTAGGCCTAGAACAGTGGCAAAGACGTGTCCGGTCGCGCCCCTGTGCCAGTGTCTGATCACATGCCCTAAACAACCCTCTGAGGAACACTGACCGGACTCTGTGACCGGACTCACAGGTCCTGACCGGACTCGCGTCCGGTCACTGATTGTTCACCGCTAAACCGACCATATCTCTTAGCTTCGAACTCTGATTTCGATGATCTTGGATATTTTAGAAAGCTTACTCAAAGGGATACACATCCCACTTGCATATTTGATCCAAAGCACAATGAATTAATATAGAATTCCAATCCAAGGACCATCACAAAGTTTGGAGCACACCGAAAGATCTTTCTCTCTTCTCCAAGTTGATCCAATTCAATTCCAACAACTTCTCCTTTGCAAATGTGCCACAACCACCAAGTGTACACAATTATGTGCAAGTGTGTTAGTATTTTCACAACCATTTTAAGGAGTTAATCACTTATCTTACCACGCCACTCGATCCTAGTAACGATGCAAAGTTAGATCACTCGAGTGGCACTAGATGACCGATATGCAAACAAGTTTGCCCCTCTTGATAGTACGGCCATCTATCCTAAACCCGGTCATAAACTTCTCTACACACCTATGACCGGTGAAATGAAACACCCTATAGGTTATACCTTTGCCTTATGCATTCCATTCTATCTACTCCATCGTTGATGCAACACACAAGCATGCATATCATCCTATGCATGCTAGTTATCAAATCATCATTCAAGTTCTACAACTAGCATACACCACACAAGCATGCATATCAAATTTTAAAAAACTCATGCAATGCAAGCAAGCACATGAATATGCACATATCAAATGCAACCAATCAAAGTTCATGAGCTTGCCCCCCTACTTGTGTGCTTTTCTTATCCAAGAATTTTGATCATTCTCAATTTCTCAATATAATGTTGCTCCCTCTTTGTCCATTGTCCATGTCCAAATCCCCATTTGTAATATCTTTGACTCAATCTCTCCCCCTTTGTCATCAATTTCCATAAAAGGTATGTCTCTTTTGATACAAAGGATTGCATTGGGGTAGATGGTTGACACTTGAATCTAGCATTTTTTATGGACACCATCACATATGTTGGAATGATGCCATATGTAGGATCTTGTGACCTTGATACCAATTGTAGTGAGACTCCTCCCCTATGTCCAAGCATGGGTCATAGCACTTGATAAACTAGAGCTTTTGTAAGTTAGGGAACTTTCCTCTCTTGATGATCACTTAAAGTTGAGAATCACTTGTGGAACCATCATTTGATGTGCAAGATACCACTTGTATGAATGCTACTTGTAACAAAGTGATAATCTAGATATACCACGTGTAAGAACAATCATGGAACCACTTGTAAGATTTGTCAATTATAACCATTTCTTGAACACTTGTCATCTTCATGAGCTTCTAAGTTTGACTTAAACTAGAATGATTTGCCTAAGCTTCCAAGTCTAGTTTGAATCCTCTCTAAGCTTCTTCACACACATTAAGTGATTATCTTATCAAGGTTGTGCTTGTCACTTGTTGGCAATCTAAATTAGATCAAGTACTTGGGTTCACTAGCTCATGAACAAACTCATACACTACCACTAGATTCAAATAATCATTCAAGCAATAGTGGTAGGCTAT